ATAGATAGATAGATAGATAGATAGATAGATAGAATGTGTACACATTATATATATGAAATATGTGCTCATTGTGTCCACCAGGTAGCAGTTCATTCTTTTGTGGAGAATCTGTTCAGGAGTATCTGGGGATTGCCTAACAGCAGGGCCCCACTGGCCATCAAGTACTTTTTCCACTTCCTGGATGCACAAGCAGAGAGAAAAAAAATCTCAGATCCAGATGTTCTCCACATCTGGAAAACAAACAGGTGCTGGATAACTCACTTTCATTGAAGTACACTTTGCACAGCTCCACAAGCAGCTGCACCGACATCTGATTATCAAATTTCTCACAAGATTTATTAACGTGCACAACTAAAATGGATTTTCAAAACTCCCTATCAGCCTTCCACTTCGTTTCTGGGTGAACATCCTGAAGAACCCTGACTTTCTGTTCAGCGACTTGGAAAAGACACCTCACCTGGACGGCTGTCTGTCCGTCATCGCTCAAGCCTTCATGGACTCCTTCTCCCTAGTCGAGCAACACCTGGACAAGGTAACCACTGAAGCCTAACATGGAGAGCTGCAAATATCACAGAGATTACTGACTCCCTTTTTCTCCTACAGCATTCACCAACCAATAAGCTACTATATGGCAAAGACATCCCTCAGTACAAACAGGAAGTGAAGTTGTACTACAAGTTAGTGAAGGACGAGCCTTCTATTAGCAGCCAAGAGTTGAAAATATTTCTTCAAGGGGAGTCAAAGGTACAATATGTCAAACATTACCTAGAAATAAAACAAGGTGTATTGATAGGAAGATGGTTGTAATGCAAAATGCCTAAATGTTAATTCCCCTTCTTCATCAGAAACATCAAAATGAGTTTAATGAATCTGCGGCTCTGCGAGAACTCTGCAAATTCATGCTCCGCTACTTCAGCGAGGTACGGATCTTGCGTTATCATCGCACATCTACTCTTTCGTGCATTTGAGGCAGTTTCACAGAACATTTTCACTGCATTTTCAAGCACATCAAAGCCACCGAAATTCTATAAAGGAACCCTATTTTGCCACTTTAATGAAATGTAACAACACTTTCACATCCTGTTTTAATTCACCTGCTTTGAAAGGAGATTTGATACTGTGTATTCCCCTAGAAATCATCTGAAAGTTGGGTGGTCAGGAATGATGACGTATTCAGATTTAGCAAAGTAATTATACAACAGCATGACTTTTTCTTTTTAATACTTGGCCTCTACAGGTTTCTCAGAAGCTGGAACAGACAGACGCCCCTGATAAGTTGAAAGAGGACATGCAAAACGTGAAGGAGCTTTTTGAAAACATGAAGCGAATTGGTTGGAGTTGAAATTCCTGGTCTTGTTGTTCATATGGGTATTTACACTGCATTTTGTTTATTTTAAGCTGGTCATTAAACTGGACGCACCTCCATCATAAAGACTTTCAGCATCATCAGCCATTTATTAGAGAAGACAGATTCACTTCTGTTTGTTGGACATTATAGAGACCAAGTGAATGTAATGTATATTGATGAATTTTAGAGTTCGAGAGGAGCTCATTGTTGAGCTTATATTGGACTA